TGAACCTTGAGAGGCCATGGAAGACTTTTTCTTAAAAAAGCTTGGAGGAATATCAGGAATTATCAAAGCGAAGGTTTGTAAAAGAATTATCTTAACATTAAGAGGCAATTTATAAGCTTTCAAGAAAGAGTATAGAAGAATTTCGAAGGACACGGTGATTTTTTGAAGCAACCATGCCCGATCCATATTGGAATCTGAAGCGATTCACTCGAAACACGAAGCTCCATCCTTATTTAATACCCCACGTCCCAATACTCAAAAAGCGGAAGATCCTCCATTATATCCATGACACTTCATCTTCTAAAAAGACGGTTCAAATCTTTGATAACGTCAGCCATGAGAAGCAGAGTCAACAATGGATGCTCGATAAAGACATCCACGTCTCTAAGATAAAGACTTCTCATTTTTTTGTCCCTAACATGCTTGTATTGATCAGAGCATATCATATTTCCCTAGAAGCCGACTAAAAGTCGACTCCAAGCAAAAAGGGCTAATTGTTATGGTGTTCGCTCACCCAAGATATAGGCATTTGCAAAATGATACAATAAGAGTCCTAGCACCCACTTAAGTGGCCCAAGCCCAACAGAGGCCTCGACCCCACCGACTCATCAAGTCGACATTCTTTCATGTCGACACGAAAGGTGGGATCAGTCGACCTTATCGCCGAGGACGACCTACTTAGGGTACTTGACCACTCACTGGGCAATTCTTGGAGACGATTTGAGAGACATTCCCTGCTATCGGCTAAGTCGAGGACTCGAGCCCGACCTCAAGCCTCTCCCCTAGAGTATATGTTAACATTTTAGTCCACATCGGATAAACCTTATCCAGATTTTAGCCTAATGGTCTCCATGACTTGTCAAATGACCACGTGTCTTCTGCCACACTCTCAATCACTTCCTAAAAAATACGGAGACACCCTCTCCATGCCGAAGTGACCTCCCCTCCAGACGCTAGTCGACACCTATAAAGTAAGGGATGATTTAGTATGCCAGTGTGTCTCCTGCCATGCTCTCAATCAATTCTTAGAAAATACGGAGACACCCTCTCCCATGCCGAAGTGACTTCCACTCCAGTCGCCAGCCGACAAATATAGAGCAAAGGATGACTCAACTTCCAGCTCACACTTTGTCACCGTTATTTGTATGGCCGAAGTGACCAATATGCCATTGGCATCCCCTATAAATACAGGTGCTATTCGTTATAGCCATAGGTTCGCAATCTAAAACCCCCTACGACACACACTGCACAAAAATAAGAACACACGGTTCTTCTTTAACCCCACTTAAGTTCATCAACTGACTTGATCATCGGAGGTATCACAGAGGAACTCATCCCCGCCCTCTTACGACTCTTTGTGTACAGATTGCTCGGCCATCCTAATTCCAGAATCATGCATAAAGTTGAAGAAGAAAGCGGCCCCCTTTTTCTTTTATAAACTCCGTAACTTTAATTGGATATGTGATATTTAGCATCAACAGCTGGCTATTGGCATATATACTCTTAATTCATGGGTATTTGAAAAAATACATCACAATTGTTAGTATTTGCAAAACTATTCCTCAAATCATCAATTTTGTCAAAAAAATACCCCTAATTTTTTTTAAGAAAGAGTGACTCCATGTCCAAAAGGAATAAACCTCCATTTGAATATTGGAAGTTAAACTTAGCCACTATCTTATTAAAATATAAGTAGACTAGGATAATGCTATTAGCATATTAGCTCTATCTTTATAGAGTTTGAGTCCCAAATTATATGATGTCTCACCCAAATCTTTCATAGAGAATTTGTTAGATAACCATAGTTCAATAGTTAATAACATTCCAACATCACTTAGAAAGTTCAAAAGTATTTGATAGAAGTTAGTTTTATAGTTCAGAAGTATTTGATAAAATCTTTCATAGAGAATTTATTAGACAATCATAATTTTTACATTTTAAAGCTTTTTAGACGTTGTTTGTAAAATTTGAATACGGTGGTAGTTTCAGATTGTTCAAAGGACTAATAGAAGATTTAAGATCTTCAGAGTTTTTTTTTTAATTTTTTGCTTTTTTCTGGTGTTTTATGCAACTTCATATTTTGAAAGTCTGCCAATTTAAAATTTTTAGGGCATTGTATGTAATTACAGATTGTTCATAAAAGTGTTCAAAATTTTCTATTATTCAAGTTTTTTTTTGTAATTTTTAGGGTGTTTTATGTAGTTATAGATTGTTCATAAAAGTGTTCAAAAATTTTTGATTTTCAACTTTTCTTTGTAATTTTTAGATTTTTCAAGGTGGTTTTTGATAAAATTAAGATTTTTCAAGGGATCATATGTAATTTTTTGATTTGCAATGTGTTTTCTATAATTTCAAGTTGTTTAAGGGATTATTCAATACTTTTATATTTTGGGGTGTTTTTTTATAATTTTTGAATTTTTTGATGAGGAAGTTGTTAGTAACTTTTAAAATTTGGGATTCTGCTTATAATTTCATTTATCTCAGGAGTGTTGTCCAATAATTTTAAATTTTAGGGGTTTGTTTATACTTTTTGCATTTTTGAGGTGATTTTTGTGACTTTCTGGGTTTGTTTGGGGGGTCTTGATTTTTGTAATTTTATAATTTTCAAATGAATATTTGCAATTTGTTATTATATAAGGAATTGTTTGTAACTTTTAAAGTCTTAAGGCTTTTTGTTGAAAATTTTGATTTCTAAGGAGGTTTTTAATTTTCTAGTTTAAGGGTGCTTTGTATAATTTTTAGATTAAAGAATATTGTTTATTACATTTGGATTGTTAAAAAATTATTAAAGATATTTCTATTAACTAGAGTAAGATCACAAGCAATGTATCATAGATCAATTTAAACAGTTCTATCTATTAAATAGAATAGGATCATAATGTGATATTTAGAAAAAAAACAAGGGCAATATTGTTCAATAAATTTTTTTTCTGAACTCCCACTTTTAAAGGGAGTATGATTTATAACTATATAAGGGGTGTTTGCAATTTTTGAAGTTTTAAGGATTTTGTTTGAAAAGTTTGATTTCTAAGGGGTTGTTTGTAATTTTCTGATTTTAGGGTGCTTCGTATCCTTTTTAGATTTTTAAGAACTTTGTTTATAACGTTCAGGTTGTTAAGAATGTATTAAAGATATTTTTATTTTGTTGGATGGGATCATAGTAAGATATTTGAAAAAACGAAGGCAATATTGTCCTTCATAAACTCCCACTTTAAAGAGAAATATGATATAATTATGATGGGATCAATGCACCATTTTTCAACTTTATCGCTTCTTTTGCAAATAAATAAGCCAAACATAACTTGAGAATTTCTTAGATTTATGACATTACCATAAACCCAAAGCATAATCCTACATCCAAACTGTTTAGGATTCGTATGTGAGTATACACATTGGAAAAGAAGAGAGAGAATGATGAGTTTAAATAAGAACGGAGACCAAAAGACTTATTGACTTATTGACTTGGTCAATAAGCTAATAGAGCTTGTGTCTTATTGACTTGGTCAATAAGCTAATAGAGCTGTTTGGTAACCAAAAATAGGAGGAGATTATTTTGGAGATTGTGTCTTTTACAAGTAGCTTTTGGAAAGCTACCTTAAGTAGCGTTTATCTTTGGGAAGGAGCTGCCAATTTTTTTCTTCCATTTTTGCCCCTAATAATTCTAATTTTATATCAATAATATTGCATGTTTTTTTAGTCATTTAACAAATTTAAGCTAGTTGTACAGCTACTTTTGCCAAACAGCTCTAGTCAATCAGCTAGCTACACAGCTAACAGCTTTCAGCTATAATTTCACAGCTTTCAGCTAGCTTAACAGCTTTCAGCTATAATCTCGCAGCTTTCAGCTAGTTTTGCCAAACAGAGCTAATAGTCTAAACTTTTAGGGTAAAAAAATTGATTTTTAGCCTCTATTGAAGGTCAATTAGTTCTAAGTTGGGCATTATTACTCTCCAGCAAATGAAATTAGAAAAAAGATTGTGGCCCAAGTAAAAGTAAAGTTCAATATTGAAGCTCGAAGGTTCTAATGCCTTGTTTGGTTCACGAGAATTAGTGGGAATAGAATACAATTCCAACTTCCAATTCATACTTAGCAAACGTGATGTGTTTTTGAATGTTAGAAATATCATTCCCACTTACCATCAATTCCTACTTAATGTGAAAATTGTTATTCCCAATGAGTTATCAAGGAATTGATATTCCCACTTCAGTGAGAATGAAAATAATAAAATAAATTTCAGATGCACCATTCTTAAAGACATTCCCGCTTAAGTCTCTAATTTTGCACCCAAACATGAGAATGAGAGAGTATTCCATTCCGACATTAATTCCATTTTATTCCTATTTTCATGCCGGTGTCACTTGATTCCATTTCTCCATACCAAACAAGACGTAAATGTGTTAGGAGAATGACTAAGATCTAGAAGATCAAACTTATACCAAGTCGAGTATCCACACATACCACATAGTTGCCGTTTCAGACCAAGTCAGTGAATCTTATAGAAGATTAAGAGCCATACTTACAAATGAACATTGGACAATAACTTAAAATGTTGGAGAAAAAATAGATTCCTAACTTCTATTGAAGACCTATTGCTAGATTTCACTAAATTCCTTTCTGACAAAACAATTTGAGTGGGTCCTATATGGTCCCATGGATTCCTATGTATGTATGAAGGAGTTACGGAACCGAACAACCGCTTACGTCAGACATCCAAGGAAACCAATCAGTAGTTCAAATGGTCGACGTGCTGTTCAATTATTGTTGCCGGTTGGATTCAGACGGTCGGATTGGGCCACAAGCCCTCGTGACCTACATTCCCAAATGTTGACAGCCTGTCAACATAGCGGATCCTCAAGCCACACATTAGCCACCCGCTACCCGTTTCCGAAACTCTCACTCCATCCTTAACGGATTCGGGTTGTGTTATTAGTGTCCGGACCCTGCTCCCTCGAGCCCTTAAGATCTCAATTTGGTCCTTTTCTTACCTCCTCGTTGGCCGGTTCCCAAAGCTACAGAAGAGCTGACCGCGCCTCTTCGCTCGAAAAAAAAAAGGTTTTGACTTTTTCTCTCTCATTCTAGATCTGTTACCGACCTTTCGCTTTTCTCGTGTTTTTTATTTTGTGATTCCGGAATGGACTTCAGTCTCAAGGTTCGTCTCCAGTTTCTCCTCGATTTGATCTCTTCCTTGCATTTCGATTGATTCGATTCGTCCGCAGATGGGTTACATAGGGCATCATGGCGTCGCAGCGCTCTACAGGCACAAGTACAGCGGCGTGGATCACTCTCTCGTCTCTAGATACATAATGCAGCCTTTTTGGACCCGATTCGTTACCGTCTTCCCTCTCTGGATGGCGTAAGTGCTCGATATTCTACTCTTGTTTGTTTACTATTTCATTAATCTTTTGTGGATTTGGGATTGGTGGCGTTTGAACTCGACGGTTTTATGGAATTTAGTTATATGGGAAGCAATCAATAGTGACCATCAACTGCAACTCACCTGAGTGTCCCACATGAATTAAACTTGTCAGTGAGCAAATGGAATTTGAGATTTGTTTTGAGATTTGTTTTGCTCGCATCAAGGGTTTTGCGTCTTACGTTCATCTTGGCCCACACGATACCGAAGTCTCAGCCACACAGCCTCCCACTTAATTATGTGCGTGTATTAATGATGTGGGCTGCAAGCGTGTGGATTTTGATAAATGACGCTTGAGTAAAACACCGGACACACCCACAAATGAGGTGTTAGCGAAACGAGACTAGCGGTAAGCATCATCGCTAGTTACATTAGAGCGGGTAAACCTCCCCAGTTTATATCTCTTCGTAGCTTATTTTGCTAAACCAGGGGACTGCTTGTTAGATGGAATTGTAGAAATAAAGAATTGCAATTCAATAATCAAATAAAAGAAGGGTAAGTATGATCGCTGGCCTTTGGGGAGCAGTCGTGATTTCATTACCCTAGAAACATAGATGCTCGCCCTCGCACAGGCTTTTAATGGCGACCCATCTCCTAGCGGTAAGAGCCTCCGGTTACGACCAACACTTGAGCGGCGACTCCTCAAACCTCCTGCTCGGATGATTATCGTCTGGAGAATAAAACAAAGAAAGTTTGCAAAATTGTATTAGAGACTCAGAACTTTGGGGGAGAGAGAGAATGTTATAGAAGAGACGCAGAATTTTCTGTGTTTTTCTTCTTTCTGAGTGTTCCCTTTTAAATGCCTTGGGAGAGAAATGTTGCAAACTGATTACGCTTCTTCCTTCGTGAACTCTCGCGATATTTTTCGACGTTTAACAGCTTTTGTTTCTTTCTTTTCCATTTGATAGAAGTGCTGGAGAAAAGGAGAGAAAGAGATATTGTTATGACCATTTTTAAAAAGGATAAATTAATAGCATGTGGAGTGATAAAAGATAAGCTTAAGAAACTTAACATTTCCTATTTAAAACATAATAAAATCCAACGCTTATATTCAATATCTTATGGGTTTTGAGGTGATCACTCTTTTGCTAAAAAAACAACCAAGAGATAGACCAGTGGTGATACTGAGTTGGCTAGTCACACTGGAATTGGAGTTCACCACTCTTATCCCTTGGTAGTTCATATATTACGAGAGGTGACAACTCATTCCAATATTCTCTATATATTAAATGCGGGTTAATTCACTTTACATCAAGGAATGACAAAACCAAGATGCAGCTCACAATAGATTGTGATCTATCCTAATTGCTTGCCACTATTGCATCGAGTAGTTGCCATTTGTTTACTAGTTTCTAATTAGACATGTACGGTAATAGTTTCTTAGACCAATTAGTTGGAGGGACAATCTCACTTTGTGTTTTACTTTATTTACCGTACACCGATTCGGTACTCCAACTACATGAAAAAAATCAAGTCTTCTTGATACCATAATAAACATCAACTTTTAAAGTAGTATACATAGTTCCTTTTCATTCTAATTTCGTAGACTTCGGGCATTGATACAGAGATAATATGAAATAATCAACTAATAGTGCATTCATCAGCGTACATCTGATACCGAAAAATTCGCAATACTTTCTAAAAGTGGCAAAGTCCATATTTTTAAGAACCTTCATCCAATATCTCTGCTTATGGTTTGAGATGTTCAATAGCAAATACTTGATCAAGTGTGTTCTCGTTGCATTGATTACTTTGCCTTGTCTCCTCCTATCAAAAGCATGTCATCCACATGAAGGATCAGCATCAAATACGTACCATTCTTGGAATACGTGATGCATAAAATGTTCATACTCTCTTTTGGGTGTTCTACCTTAGTCGTTGCAGTGATTATCCACCGTGTCTTGATCCTTGCTTCACCTTGCAAAATCTTTTAATCTATGCAAAGGATTCTCCTTGCCTTCTTTCAACAGATCTTTGAGGTTGCTCCATCTTTATCTCGTATTAAGTTTTCCCATGTAAAAAATGATGTCTTTACCTCCACATGCTCAAGATTTCTATGTATGAATAAATATTCAAGAAGATGAAGAATTCGCAACTTGATTTTTAGTGATAAAATTTCAAAAGCTAGTACCTTTGTTGTATGCAAATCCCTTGTTAACTAATCTTCCGCAATACCTTTCAAATTATATCACCCACTTTTATAAAATTTCAAAGTCATATATACAAACTATCTTTTATTCTTTTCACAATACCACCTAATAGAATGTTTGGTTCCTTGTAGAATGTGGGTCTTAAAGAGGCTCTTTTGCTGTTTGTTATGGCAAAAGCTTGCTGGATAAGCTGATTGTTAGAAGCTTATCAACCTTGATTAATAGTTCGCAATAGACAATTGATAAATAGTATCCTAAATGTGTACATGTGAATTTATACCTTTATTCTTATGCCTGAATTTAATAACATAGGAAGAAGTGTAGTTAAATATTAGGGTAGATTGATCCTTTTAAAAAATAATCATCCAAAAAAAAGAGGAATATTACAGTGACGATGAGGGTGTAATTTGCGGCTGAACTATATATTCCGTGTAAATTGTCTAATATGAAGAATTGGAAGATTATTTTAAATAGCAAAGATTCAACGATATGCATGTGAAAACCTGTTAAATATTCTCACATATCATGGACATTTAACATAGGTACGCAGCTGTAGTTGCAGTGATATTGTGGAACATTTTTAATTACAAATATTTAAGCTTTTATTGATTATGTTGTTCCATTGTTTCTATGTTTGACATCTTTGAAGACTGTTTTGAATAAGCTCAATTACCTTCTCTCACACACACATACACGTATTCCTGTGTGTATGAGCATGCATCTGCACTCTGCATTGAAACACAGCACAGGAATTTTTTGAATAAGCTTAATTGCCTTCTCTATCTATCTATCTATCTATCTATCTATCTACGTGTTCCTGTGTATATGACCTTACTATACAACTAAGTTGTTATTGGAGCATATTTCTGAAAGAGCTATCAGTAAATTATCATTTCAGCTGAATATTTCTGACATATGTTTTTTGTTTGTCACTTGTGTGGAGTTGCAGACCAAATATGGTGAGTGCTTTTCCCTTCTGTTGCCTTCCGTTCTGTCTTTAAGATTCAATTTTTGCTTCTATGCAAATCAATTTCATTTTCTTTCTTTGCAGATTACACTTATCGGTTTCGTGTTTCTAGTTTTATCAGCACTCCTTGGATATGTAAGTGGTAAAATATATTAAATTTTGTATATGATTCAATTTCATGAAGGCTATTTCACTGATTGGACTTTCACTACTTTCCTGCTAGACTATCCTAAACTGTCTAGAATGCATATAACTATTCCTATTTGCGTCCAACTACCACGATCAGAACAATGGTGCCTGGAAAAAGATATCTTCCTCCTATAAATCAATAAAAAAAACCCAACTAACTTTCAGTATTTACTAAATTGTCATCTCCACTCTTCTCCCTCTTACACTGTCCCGAGCACTGGTGAACCCCTCTGTCTCCCACAGCTGCCCCTCTCACTGATGAACCCCCCTGCCCTGCACGGTTCTCTCTCTATCTCTCTCTCTCTCTCTCTCTCTCTCTCTTTAAAGACTAATTATGAATAAATTAACTTAGTCAAGTCAAATAGGGGCAGATTAGTCAGTTAAAAAGCATTTTAACAGAAAATCTGGGTATATGCCCATAATATTATCTAACAGAAAATGAGAGATATTGACAAAACTAATCCCTGGGAATATTTAAATTAGCTAACAGCCATATTTGGAGCGTAAATCAACAAATAAGATATTTTTTCGGGGGCCTATAGGTAAAACCCCCTTTTTGTTCAATAACTTGCCATTGTTTAGTGGCCATCTTTCTGTTTATTTTTGTTCATATAAATGACGATGTAGGATATGTGATGCCGGTGATTTATACACTGGCTGAGATATAACTAGCAAGTGCATTGACATCGTATTATTGTGGGTACTAATATCATCTCTCTCTCTCTCTCTCTCTCTCTCTCTCTCTCAAAAAGAAAAGATCTTCCTGCCTTTTCTATGAACTTTCACATGGCTGTTTCTTATTTTGATATATGCGTGATTGACTTCTTCATCTTGTTTAGATTTATGTATAATTTGCCATCTCCTTCCGATGCCAACTAATTTCTCCTTTAATAGATCACTTATTCTGTTTGGGTAAAGTGCTGCATGTTTTCTTCTATAAGATTTAATCTATTTTATGCAGTTTTATTCACCTCGGTTAGATACAGTTCCCCCAAGATGGGTGCACTTAGCTCATGGACTGCTCCTTTTCATGTATCAGGTTTGTTGAATGTATTGTTTTCAAGCAACAAAAAACTATGTGAATCTTTTTCACGTGCATGAAATTTTCTTAGATATTATGGTGATGATAATATAATGCATCATATAACTCATTTCTGTAGCTATTGTGACTTTTTAAATTGATAAGATTGCAGTTTCCTGTTGCAGTTATGAAATAACCAAGAGTGCCTTATTAATAAGAGAAGTATCATTGTCATCTGAGCTTTTTACCCATCAAATGGGTCAGACAATTTCCTATTGCAAAGAGGAAACTGAATTTTTACTATCGCATACACTTAGCGGATGCCCTTATGTTCTAAATATTTCTCCTATTTCTAAATTCTTAATAGAGATCAGAGTTAAGGGTCTGGTGAAGATACACCTACAGGATATGTGATTAGGGCAGAGAAGCAGAATTTGTATGAAATGTGGTGGTTGAGATAGAGTTGATCACTCAATCATGGGCGATAGATATTGACACGTGGAAAATTTTAGATAGGAAAGATCTGCAATGAAATTATATTTTCTCCTGGATACAAATGAATTGTTGCAGTTAACATTTTGTACTATCCATTATGGTTTTTTTTCTTTTACTCTTTTTGTGAACCATCATGATCTTTCTATTTAAGTTCTGTTTACATTAGCTAGAAAGGTTTTCATTACTCTTGATGTTTGTCTAGTTGTCCCCTTTTAGCCATTATGTTTCTAAAGGTTCCCTGCTTTAATGGTTCAAGTTTTGGGTCTATCATCCACTGTGCAAAATCGAGCTTTTTAAGAACTAGAATACCTTTTTTTCTCAACTCATTTTTTTCTACTGAAAGAGCTGTTTCTGTTGAAGTTATCTATCATAATTTAACACTGTTTTTGCTAGACTTTTGATGCTGTTGATGGTAAGCAAGCACGGCGCACAAATTCTACGAGTCCATTAGGGGAACTCTTTGATCATGGTGGTTTCCTTTCCCCTTGTTTTCCTTTTAGTTTGATGTATATCCGTGCAAATTATGGTTGTTGATCTTTTTGGTGAAAATCTTTTCTCAGGTTGTGATGCTCTTGGATGTGCGGTATGTGGCACCCAATTACCCAAGCTGATTCATACTTGACCCTGCGATATCTGTTTCTGAAACCTGAAATTTTAATCCCTGCTGTTAACAGTTCATATTCTTAGCTTTCGGAAGCACCGCAATGACCGGGAGGACAACCTTTTGGTATTGGGTAATTGCAGCTATTCCATTTTATTTCGCGACATGGGAATAGTGAGTTCTTCCAAGGTTTATATTGTTATACTTAGTATTATTGATCCATCATTTCAGTTAGCTACAACTGGAACTTAAACTGTTATTGCTTATGTAAGATATCTTCTGTTGGGAACTTGCTTTTAAATCTGTACTGAACTCTGTTTCTGTCGTCTATCCAGCTTTTTTACAAAAATACTTATCCTTCCTATAGTAAATGGTCCTACTGAAGGCCTCATGCTGATCTATCTCTGTCATTTTCTGACATTTTTTGTGGGTAGGTAACTGGATTCTTTGATTCAACTATACAACTTTACTGTAAGCTTTACTTTAGACAAGCTATTGACTGATATATAGTATTCTAAGCATTAGTTCTCATGCTTCCTTATCCTCATCTCAGGATCGGAATGGTGGGCTCAGGATTTCAGGAAGTCGGTTCCCCTCTTGAGTTGGGTGCCTTTTTCTGGTGGTGAGTTTCTCATTAGGAAAAATATGTTCGAAGGTTTATCCTTTTTTGGTTTAGCACAAATTCAATAATTACACGGTAAATTACAGGCAGATATTGCATGAATGACAGTTTCCCTTGCTCTTACTCTTCAAACCATTTTCATTTCCTTAAAGCATACACTGAATAAAATCTCACATCTTTTGCCCCCATTTCTGCAGAAGTATTCAAATCATGTTTTGTGGATCTAGTAAGTGCAAATTGCTTACTGATTTACTTCAATTTTGTTTGACTTGTTTTTAATTACATACAAAATTCCTCTCTATCCCTTGATTTGTTAGACTAGTATGATTACACGTGTATTCATTTTCACGTTTAGTTTTACTTTTCATATATAGAGTAATTTATTATACTATTAGACTTTGTAAAAGTTTGGTCTCCAAAGTATAATTTTTAAAATATTAATTTTTCTTTATTTAAAAATAGTTGGATTAAATATTAAATTTTCTTAAAAATATGGGGTAAATGATTCTCCAAAACTGTTACTTTGTAGAACTCTAGTATTTCAACTTCACAATAATTTTTTTCGGATTTAGGGGTAACCTAAATCTTTATCAAACCTTAAAACTTCCGTGCAATTTCTTTATTTAAAAGTTTGATCTTCCAAGTAAAAAGTCTTATTGAGATTATAGTATTTTGATTTGGAAATATTATAAATATCTACATGAAACTTTTGCAGTTGTAGGTGTAGGTGTTCTGTTATTGTATTGTTTGTTAAGGTGTGGTTATAGTTTATTAATACCAAGGTTTTAAATATCAGATATCGGGGATTTATTGGACGGTCAAAATCAATATCGGGTAGCGGATATTAGGGATATATTAGGGATACGTAGTATTTATCGGAGTGATATTATTGGAGGATGATATACAGAATATAATATTCTAAAATATAATCTAACCATACTTAATGAAATATAAACAATGCAAAATGTAAATAATTATGTTTAGGGTCACTAACCAATCGTAGAAACTTGGGTCGGGTCGGCTTTAAAGTACATTGAATAGGTGTCTGTTTCTTAAAATCAAAACTCAAACCAAAGGCCGATAATTTTGATTTTTGGACCGACAATATCGGCCGATAACTCACTTTATTGCCGCATTATCGGCGATAAATATCAAAAAACGATAATTGATTTAGAATCGAACTTATCATAGCGGAAGGCCCCCAAAACCGATAAATCGCCAATAATATCGGTTTATCGGCCGATGTTTAAAACATTGATTAATACCCTCACACTTGTATATGTATAAACTTCCCAGTATAATGAATATATTTATCCCTTTCTTTCAAAAGCTCTATGCTTATCAGTCTAATGTTCTGAATTTATTTATTATACAAGAAACTGAGGAAGGTAAATACATATATTTTTAATATTAGTAATGTTAAGAACTCATACATTATTAACAAACAATATTTTAAATATCATAATATCATAACATAACATTAATAATATTAATGATATACGTATTATAATAATATAATATTATTTTTTAAAAATGTTTCTAAATGTAGATAATGTTAAATATTTATTATTTTGCTAAAAATAATTTTACAAAACAAAAACAATGCTTTCATGTAAGTTATACTATTTATAATATTTATTATAATACGTTTTAAATTATAATATTATTTTTAATTTTATAATATTAAACTTTTGATATTAATCATTTTTTAGTGAGGTGGTTTAAATTTCTTAGTCTGCTTGCAAGTTTTGAATTATTAAGTTGCAAGATTAATTTCTGATTGTTCTAACAACAGTAAAAATAAAACTAAAGTACGAAAAATTACACTTTTTTGATTTTCCAACAAAGCAATATCCTTCATTTTCGCAATTATAATGCATTTATACCATAAATTATTTCTTTGTGAGAACTAGCACACCTTATGTTGTCATGCATAATACAACCATCATCATTTCAAATTAACATCCTATACAAATCCAACCTAATATCTCGACTCAAAATCAATTTTTTGCAAAAAGAAATATCTTACCAAGTCTTGGAAGCAACAACTACAATCCCCAACATCATAATCCTAGCATGCACGCTCACGGCATCCAATCTATGCACTTTCAAGCACATTGTAGCATACTAGAAAACTGATAAAGCTTAAACATAGGAATTAAGACACATAAAACCAAAATAGTGACCGGTTTATAAGTCTACAGACCGAATGTCAAAGTTTGAAATCATAATGAATATATCATAAGGCTATACGTTAATATAAGGACACTACCTTATATCCGATAGCCTCCTAACTCCAATAAACAACACCTGTCAAGGTTCATAAGTTAATATAAGAATGTTACCTTATCCCATCAGTTCACACGTACGTGCATATTTTTACATACTTCCCGATATTAAAAAAACAATAAAGTTTATTCATAGTTGTTTAAAGTTCACAAGCCTCAATATGCGTGTGGGGATAAGAAGGCAGATTGCTCTCTGTTTTGTCTCGTTTGTTGAAGATGGTGCAGGTTTATAGGGGAGAGGTTACGTTGGGGAAATGAATGGTTGTAATTTTATTTGGAATTAATTGATGATTAATGGTAGTTTAAAGGGGGGTTATGAGATCTTAACAGATTTTGTTAAGTAGGCCATATTGTAGGTAATCAAATAATCTTGTACTATCTTAAAAGTGTGTTGGATGTTAAATCATTTTCTTCCAAAAATAGCCCTCCAAAACACATATATGCATACATAAAACACATACATGCATCATAAACCACACATAAAACATGTGAATTAATGGATAGTGGTTACCAGAGAATACGTTTTTATATCGAGAATACTATAGTCTAAAGCCTTTAATTAATGTGATTTAATAAGATTGGGGGTTGTGAGATGAATTTGAAGGGGTATGGTTTATGTATGTATGTCTTTGATTTGAAGCAGTATGGTTTACGAATGCATGTGAGTGTTTTATGTATGCATGTATGTATTTTGGAGGACATTTTCAGAAGAAAATGTTTTAACATCCAACATACTTTTAAGATAGTGTAAGATTAGTTAATTATGATGTACGGTTTCCCTTTAAGTTGCACTACTTTGCTCACAGACTCCTTTTTTCCATATGCTAATTTTATCTTTCTTTGTTTGATTATATCAGAACTCCCATTCCATGATGCTGTTCTATTCTTAATGGCCATCTTTGGTATTCTGCCTACTATTGCATACAAGTAAGTACGATTATATTATTATTATTTCTTATTAATGGTTTTCCTAATTGCATCACTTCAATTAGTAGATAACAGTAAATCTACTTTTGTTTGTGGTTTGTGGTATCTTATTTGGCAATCAGTTCGTACTGTCCATATTCTCTTTCTATAAACCGTCTTCCTCTAACCAATAAATCATGATTTGATGTGATATTTGACGCCACTGTACACTTGTTTAATTTTCTTGCACTTCTGAAAAATCCAGGAAGTATCTAATGTCATAATCTTAGTTCCAAGAGCATAGTATATTTGACCTTGTTTAGGCTGAAATGTTTGTGAAATATACAGAAGTTTTCTCTCCGCAACTTGTAGAATAACGTTGAAACTAGGAAAAATATCCCAGCAAAATTCTAGTCATTTGATATCATGCTTATGTCCAGTGTCCACAGTGAAAGATGACAGCATGTATTAGGATATCTGTGGGGTTGCAACTGGAAGTTGAAGTTGTCTGATGCCTGTTGTGCATGCTTCATGTGTAAGATGTGATTTTCAGAGGGAAAAGAAATATCTAAGTTGCAGAGACCAACAACAAGAAATACAGTTTAACAAGCTCCTGCATATATGAGAACTCTAGGGTTAATACTGTTGTCTCATAACTTTCAGGATCTTACATGATTACATCCTTGTTCTGGCACCATTATCTTTGAAGATTCAAAGTATGCAGATTTATGGGTTTCTCTTCACTTTGATATCTGAAAGTCAATGTATTTTATGTTCATTTGTGATTAAAACAAAAGTGAAATAACTTCCACCCAACTGGATTTTGGATCTTCTAGGTTCTTTTGTAATCTTAATCCCTTGAGGTATGTTTGACAACTTCACGCTATTCCGGTTAAGGCCAAGATTTAACCAAGATAGGGGTAGTCCAAAGATAATTAGTTAAGGGCCTCTTTTTTGAACTAAAAAAACTTGTCCAATCTTGTACAAGTTTTTGCCAAACACATTTTAAGCCTTTGTCCAAGTTTTTCCCCTTATCCAAGTTAGTGGGTGAGTTGCCAAACAAGCCCTTATAGTTCCAGTTGTGTCTTAATTTTAAGTTACAGCTCTTTGTCCTTGATGTTCTGTAACAACAAAACACTAATCATCTCTATGTTTGAATTTGTGCAGCATTTGTAATGTGCACAAGGTTGTTCAGGCTAGAAAAGGAAGCATGCTGACGGCATTGGCCATGGTAATAATGTTCAAAGGGAAATATACCCATTTTCTATAACTTGGATTTATTAACAATACATTAAATTTTGGTGTCAGCTCCTTCCATTTGGTGTTCTATTGACGGGAGTTCTCATATGGTATGTTCTAAGCTTTGGCAGTCTTGTCAGTTCCAGTTTTAAAGTTGAATTAGGAATGCATTGTCATTCAGCTTGTTGGCTTGTAGCATGCCTTTACCTAACCTAACTTCTTACTATAGCTACACTCATTTAGGTTTTTACCGTTAAACAGCTTTGATAGTGTTTCGTGTTCATTCTATGAGCTTAAATTGCACATCCAACTACTTGCCAATTTTCCTACCAGTTTTATTTATAGCGCACCGATCCATGAATGTGACGAGCTGGAGATATCATGTTGATTGTTGGTCATAAAATTTATTAAATCTTCAGCCAAACCTTTCCAACATAGGTCTCTACTTTTTATATGCCCCGGTTTGATGGGAGAAGATTTTCATGATTTACGCTGACAAATCATGATTTTAGTTCTATTAAGAATTATTTTTAATGTAAAGTGAGTGCTACATTATGTTCTCTACAAAATTAACACACTGCGTTTTTTTTTATGCAGGTGTTATTTGTCTCCTTCTGATGTTATGCGGAATCACCCACATTTGCTTGTAACTGGAGCTGGCTTTGCATTTGGTTACCTTGTGGTAAGATTAACATAGTTGCAATGTGCTTGACTTGTTGCTCCTGCTAGATTTTAAAGGTATAATAAGGGAATAAAATAAAACCTTTTATCATTTTCTTTAATATGATTTTGGTCCGTCACTCTTATTTTAACTTTTGTGTCAAGAAGTTCTAAACTTTTCACCAGTAGGCAACTGTCTCACATACATCATCATTCAAGTCCAGTTGGGTGTTGTTTTCTCACATAGCAGAGATTATTGGACAGTCTCATTTAACAACATCACTAATTAACATTATCATATGCTCTATCAATTATATTATGCTTGTTTCTGAAGTAAAAATCTTACATTTTTCTCAATGTCTTTGTCCAAAAGTGTTTTGTTTGCCTCTGAATTATTTCACCCGTATCCTTTAATGGACGATTATTTCTATCTTCAATGTAGGATTTACACGCACAACCTGACTCAGTCAAGGGGAATTTATCTTAATACCATGTTTGAAAACAAGTAAATTAGAAATAAACAGAAACTGGTAATAAAAGTTTTTATAACAAATCCATTTTAAAAAGTTGGAAACTGTTTAACATGGGTCAAAGAAGGGTTGCTGCAAATGTTTTTTCCCCCTTGTCTCCCTCTCCGAACGAAGTTTTATTACACGTATAAAGCATCAAATGCGTTTTTTTCCTCTTGGAAAAACAAGAGTTTAAAACAAACATAACTGCTCAGAATGCATCTCTTAGAGATTTATGTTATTGTTGCCATTTCATTCTAGAAAGAATTGTTGCTTCTGTTTCATTCTGCAGCATCCGGTTAACAGGGAACTTAAATAAGTTTTTTGTACCAACAGGGAAGAATGATTTTGGCTCACCTGTGTGATGAACACAAAGGCTTGAAGACTGGAATGTGCATGGTATGTATCTTTATCAGAAATTATCGCACGCTTTTATTCATTTTCTGTCTCTTTAGGTTGATTATCTATCTTCTGCATTTTGTTTTTTTGGGCATGGTTTTTTGTGTCTCATGTGCAAAGTTTGCTTGCTTGCCTTCCCTCATAGTTTGGAGTCTGGATGTCAGCCATATTGATTTGAGTTTGCAGCCTCCTATTCTGCATGTTAAAAGAAGACCTTGTACCAACGTTCTTTCTTTTTTGGCATGTTAAGCAAACATAATGAGTAATGATATGTTTACACTCAGTTATATCATTTTGTGGGGAATCTGACTATTATAAGAAGACTGACATATCACCTTGTAATTTGTAACAGTCTTTACTGTATCTTCCTCTTGCTATCGCAAATGCACTCACTGCTAGGCTTAATGATGGGTATTATGTCCTTTACTTTACCTGTCCACAACTTCATAATGTCTTCAGCATTTGTTGTGCTTTCATACTAGTTTAATCTACTGGCTCTTATCTTGTCTCCTGGCTGCAGAGTTCCTCTCCTTGATGAGCACCTAATTCTGATCCTGTTCTGCATATACACAGGTAAACCAAATTATGATGCTTATTAAATCTTAATTTTTTTTATCATCAAACTGTTGTCTCTGTTGTTAACTAATAGTTTATGATATCATTTTGTTTTTGGCTAAATTTCTTAATGCCTTTTTGAGGTACTCTTATTAAATCATTTCTTTCTACTGAAAGAAAAGTAGACCAAGATAGAAACAGTGTTAATTATTTATTTATTCTTCATAAGAAAACAGACACCATTGTTCAGTTCTAGTGCTCATAGGTTGATATTTTCTTATTCAAATGCAATTATCTTTCCTGTTTGAATCTGAGGATAACTGATCTTATTCTCATGCGTGTGCCTCCAAGTTGTGTGTGGTCACAGCCTCACAAGTGTTTTTTAATTCAACAACAGTGACACTCTACATGCATTTCGCTACCTCAGTCATCCATGAGATCACCACTGCACTGGGCATTTACTGCTTCAGGTAAATAAAAGCGTCATTTACACGTAACTTCAAAAATTTTGGTGAGGATACTTCTCTAAGTATTCATCGCATTGCAGGATAACTAGGAAAGAAGCGTAAACATCATTGTTAGGTTTGCTGGTTTCTGTTGATTTGATGATTGCCCCGCTCAAACCGGAAAGGGTGTCACAGTTTCAGGTGTGAAGTAACTTTCCTCAACTTGTTGGATGATGTAAACGATGATCACAAATGATCAGAAATTTCTCTGCTTGGTTTGTTCTTCATGCACAGCACTGAACTAATGTTGATTTTTTAGGATAGTTAACCACAGCCAATTTGATTAATTGTGATGCATTATGCCATTGTTGATTACTTAGTCAACTTTGTTGCACTTATTTATTTTTGGAGAGTGTACACTAGGTGGAGACGTAAACATAAGGAATGTACAGTTAACATGTTTAGATTCTCCCTTACACCCCCCCCCCCCCCCCCCCCCCAAAAAAAAAAAAAAAAAAAAAAGAAAAAAGGAAAAAAAAAAGAAACCCTCCTGCGTTGACAAGCATGTTTAGGTTAAAGGTACAGCCTTTGGTTTCTTTTTTTATCAATGCTAACTTAATCAACTGTTGAAATCATAACAAGCTGATTTTTATGGTTTGTTTGCACGGTAATGTATGTTCTTTTCCTTGTGCCTACTCTTATAGTTGTCTTTGCTGTCACTGTGTCACACCGTCTATTTGTAATTTGGTTGTCGTTCGCCTCTGTCAGAATTTGACGGTACAAGCATCCAAATATACTTGCAACCAACCAATGTAAATGAAAAGAAGAAAACGCCTCAAAAGATGCATTTCCATATAGGGCCCTTGTATGCATTTTATCTTGATTTATATATTTTTAGACTCGTGCACATCTAATTCAATCTTAAACCCAAAATTCTCTTAGTGGATTATTTTTACACTTAGCAACTGTTTCAATTGCTAATTTGATGTTTAAGTTGCCATATTTGGCGGAGATATAGTTATGATATAGCACAATTTGGATTTTTTCCGTTACCAAGAAGTAGCGGAGAGATCACTGCCTTTAATTGAGAAATTTAATGGTCTTTTTATTACTTTTTCTTATTGCGGAGAGTATTTGAATATTTTGTAGTTGGGGTATAAGAATATTCTAGTTTCGATATTTCGGGTTGAGGAATTTTTTCTTTTAAGGGGTTGTTTGGTTCATTTTTTATTTTATTGGGAAACATCATTCCATTTGAAAAACCTATTGTTTCGATTTTTTCAAAGTTTTTCACGAAATTGATTGTTGATATTTGATTTACACATAAAACATGGTGGAAATTCAATTTATACACTTTTTCCTTTGTTTGGTTGGTATCTAAAAAAGGGGAAAACTTTTGGTTGATTAGAATTTTCCCATTTTTCTTGTGTTAGGTTGGTAATGAACTTTATAGGGAAAAATGCATATGGTCACCATAGTAAGATTACCTCTCATTAAAGAAAAATTTATTTGTGACCATTGTGAGTGGTAACCTTTTCAAAAGAAAAGTGCTAAAATAAAATATTAAACGTGTAAATAACGTGATTCGTCATGAATACCTGTTTGACATGGAAATTCATACAAAACCTAAAATAACATGATTGCTCATAGTCCATATGAACTACACACATAAATTAGCAGAAAATTCGTACGAAACCTATAAAATACCTGATTCATCACAACAACCCGTATGACATGAAAAATCTTGAGTTCAAACCTATAAATAACATGATTGGGCAGAAATTTCATGCGATACCTGTAAATAACATGGTTCATCATAATAACTCATATGACATAAAAATAAAAAAGGCTCAAGATGCATTTATCTATAGGTCATTATCATCAAGAAAAGCCATCCAATACATCTTATTAAAAGATATAGGTTGCTATTCACATTTTGGGGCCTTCATTATTGCATTATAACTGAACAAATCACCAATGACAGTCATAAATAACATATGAAACCTATAAATAACCTGATTAATCATAAATACCTATATGAAATGGAAAATCACACCAAACCTGTAAATAATTGAGACTAAGTAATTGAGTCAAATAAAAAAACAAAGCCTGTAAGGTTTCAAAACTAGGAGCCACTCAAAACCACGAGCAAAACCAGCAAAAAAAATTAATGATTAAAATAAATGCTGTCAGATTCAACATCCAATTACAAACTAAGTGTACTAGTCTATATCCATCTATAAAAGCCAATGTTCGCATACCAAATATTAACTAGGAAAAATAATGAGTGAGAAAGGTAGAGATATTAGTGAATCTTCACCTACACCAATATAAAGGGTAAGAATTTTGAAATTAAAAAAAATTAGCTATTTTTTTCTAATGCCAATTTACTTTGATTTTTTATCTCGGCATGGAAGGATTACTAAACCCAAACTACCTACTTTTAAAGAATGGATTGAATGTACAGATGAAGATATTGTAAATGAGCATATATGACATTGGATAACTTTTGGATCCAATGCATATTTACACACTTCATTGATGAGCTAAATACTTTCATCTCATCCACCATGTGTTGCATGAGTTCATTATCTAGGTTAGTTCTACGAGCCTTTCCCTTGCTAGCACATGACTTTGCCTTAGAAGTTAATGAGGTGGGTGCTTCCTTAGGTGGAGGAGTAGTGTTATCATCTAAAGAGTGCGCTTGAGGGGATTGATCAGTAGGCAAAGGTGAGTCAACATTATCTACAAGATTAATGGACTCGCTACAACTAACCTTTTTCTATCGTTAGCAAAGTCCCCTCTAGCTTGACATCCCCGATGATGATTGCAAGATCATCATAATGCATCAAGGTTTATTAATGTACTCCCTAAACTTAGTATTAGTAATTCTCTTGTCTTGAAAATGTACAAGTGTATTAGTGCAATGAAAATGAGAGAATGAAAAAAATGAGACAATAAAAATGGAACAAGGGCTTATTTACCTCAATCGACCTATCCAAACACTCTTACATCCATGATGACAATATTAGTGCTATCATCCCATCTTGTGCCATTAAGATTAGGAGTTTCTATGTCCAGAATCTTGTGCGTAAAGTTTTGATGTGATGCATGATGTTTTCCCACTTAACTTTAGTGTTAAAAGGCTGTTGATATGTGTGGAAGCCATGTTATAAGTGGTTCTCTTAAAATTTTTGTCTAGGTTGTAACTAGTTCTTGCCAAGTTAGCAAGAAATAGAATGAGCTCATCATTATAACATGAATCTCAAAATAAATGTTTGTTCCCTTGGGAACCACTGGCTTCGCTATTCTTTTCCTTTGTTGAAATGTTTATTCTTTTCTTCTTTAGATTTGGCGAGATTTCTACCCCTTCTTCTATGAGCACCCCTTTAGAACCTGATTCAAGTGTTGAGACATGATCACTAGTGGGAGATAGTTGCAATGCACTAATATTAGGGCTCATTGAGGCATAGTAAGAGAACTTAGCATGTTCATAAATGGCCTCAATTGGTGGTGCATCTGGAAGTAATTGCCATCATAACGTGGCAAGTTAAAAATGCATGAGGTTGTTGTCCAAAATAGTACTGCTAAAATGAGAAAAACCCACTACTAGCTAGAGGTATAGCCTGAGGAGATTGAGATGGAACTGCACAATTGCCTTTATTTTTATCTCTCACATTTGAGGATGTGTTATCAGTCGTTACTAATTTAATAGACGGAGTTAGATACAATATAATTAGTAAGAAAAGCGAACAAACATATAATAATTAAAAATACAAATACATAACAACTTTCAATGATGTTCATGAAAAGCCAAACATATTAAATGGAAAAAGCAAAATATAGAGTTAAAAGTACATGAATGATTAAAAATAGTCCAACAAATATGAAAGTTAAGTCTTAGTGGTTACACCATCATTACACTTATTACAGTAGTCAAGCCACATCACCCAAGCAATATCATATCTAAGAGTTTTTCACTCATTTCTTAATTGTATTTGTTATCTTTGGGTTTAAGTTCGTGTATAATCAACTAAATTGTGGCCAAATTCATTTGCTACCTCACCATCAATATCTTCATTAGAATCAGACTCGTTGAGTAGTTCATCATCAACAATTATAATGAAATTATGAAGTACTATGCAAGACAATACAATATCTACTTGTGTAAAAAATGGGTAATATGACTTAGCACACAAAATCTTGAGTCGATTCTTCAAAGTGCCAAAAGTAAATTCAGTCTTAGACGTCAAAGAAAAATGCCTTAGATTGAACAACTCCCTTCTATTCTTAGGTCTTTTACCGCTATGTTCTTTCAAATGATATCGAACATCTTGATATGGAGAGATGAAATCTAGCATGGCGGGGTATCCAGCATCACACAAATAGTATTTTTCTACAATTTGTTTAAGAAAATTATAAATAAGTCAAGTTTGCATATTAAAATAAAAATATTTTAAGTTAAAATTTTAAACAATTATCATCATAGACTCTCAATCCATGTGATTGTGGTCTAGATAATGCATCTCGGAGAATTCTATAATCATTTGCAGACCCTTCCTAATCTGCTAACACATAAGTGAACAGCTTATTTAGGTTACAAGTTGCAAGCACATTCTGTGTAACACCTTTGCGGCATTGAAATCATACAACAAGATTAATCAGTAGCATTGCATTAACATAGGTCTCACTTATCATACCAATTCAATCTTACAATATGTGTATCAAATTACTAAGTTTAATATTTGTTTTCATTAAATGTATATATAATCGTACATAAAGTGTAGATATACCTTGAAATAAGGGTAGCATAGCATGCCGTTAAGGATCTCTTGGGGAACGTCATTGGGGACTTGTCTCATGTAGCATCCATGAAGATAAATAATGGATTCTAATACATTGTTAAAATATCTAATGACTGTCTCCCCTGATCTAATAAAATGAGACATCACACTGTGGTTTTTATATTTATGACCCAAATTGTTTAATGTAATGATAACATGCTCTTCTACAGTTACATTTCTCTAGTCTTTTAGTAGACCATTTGCTCTCATGATCTTTGGTAGTTTCATAAAAGCACTACTTCGCATTCTAATATAATTAACACAATTACCACTAAAGCCATTATATATATACTCTATATGTGTTGAATTTTACTTCTCTTTTGTTTTCTTTTTTCCTCACTTGGTCCACTTCATTTCGATCTACGCCTAGACTGCATTCTCCTCATGAATGTAAGTATTATAGCAAAAACAGATAGTGCAGCACCTTGGCAAATATTAACAAGAGTTTCTTCATCCACAAATTCCCCATCACCATCCATCTATG